GAGCAACTGTTCGCATACTCTTTGGCAGAGTCTTGGCCAGTGACTTTCGAAGCATGCAGTCATCCTCTAGGTTGTTCTTAAAAGACACGATCGCCAACTCCTGGTTGCATCCTGGTATTCGGTTGAACACCACATAATACCTTTTAGCATAAGCCCTGAGACTTTCACTCTCGCCAATTTTCAGAGCCATCAGGAAATTTACTCTTAATGGTTGTAACTTGTTCATGACAAACCTAGCCACGAACATCTCGGCCAGGCTTTCCCAACTCTTCACAGTTCTTTTCGGCAACTTGTGAAACCAATTTGATGCGATTTCCCCAAAAGATGAGGGGAACACCTTGTAGAGCAACTGTTCGTTCCCGGTACACAGTGCAATTGAATTCAAATATAAGCCGACATGAAAGTTCAGATCGTATTTACCGTCATATATCTGGAACCTCAGCACATGGAACCTTTTTGGGGCCTTAAACTTATCCAACTCTGCTGAGAACGGCGTTTTCGGCGTGCAAGTAGTGATGAGGTGTAAGTCTCAAAGGTAGGAAAAAAGAATGGCAACAGGCCAGGTCGGGGCCGGGAATCACACTTCCAGTCCCCAATCCCCGAAGCTACAAAATTCCCGTCCCCTGCCCCGATTCCTAGCGAGGAACCCATCACTCCCCCCCGCCCCCTAACAAAGATCGGGCTTCCTCGACCTCGGAAAATCCCCGTAACTTTCTCTCTCTTTCTCTTTCAATAATAAATCATTAACAACATCATTTTCATTAACAACAACATCATCAACGGCAACATCATCAACCACAAAAAAAAAATAAAAAAAAATAATAATATGGAGACAAACATATTACAAACACAGTGACAAATACACATACATGTATATACATAAATGGTGGGATCTGATCTTCTCAGATCTGAGATGTGAAATGTAAAATCTGCGGTGGTGTGGTGGGGATGAGATCTACTCAGATCTGCCCAGATCTGTCGTGGTAGGAACCGAAGCCGGAGTACGAAGGTTTGGCAGTGGCGCGGAGGAGGAGGAGGAGGCGGCGACGGAGGAGGGTGTGCGCACTGCTGCGGAGGAGGAGATGACGCCATCGCCACTGGGGAGAGGAGATCGCACCGTCGCCACTGCAAAGAGGAGATTGCACTCGCCACTGGAAAGAAGAGAGAGTGAGAGAAGATAAGAGAGATCGGGGCTACATAAGAGAGAGAGAGTGTAATATTTTATATATATAATATATAATATATAAAGAGAGTAGAGCTGCTGTGTACCAAATCAAACCCCAAACATATATATATATATATATATAATATAAATCGGGGCTAACGAGATGGGGGGCGGGGCCGGGGATGAAATGTGTATCACCGTCCCCGGCCCGAATGTCACCGGGGATTGAATTTCGAATACCATCCCCGTCCCCACGGGGATATTTTTCAGGAAAAAACCATTCTTATCGGGGACGGGGGGTCGGGTCCCTGTCGGGCCGGGTTCAAATTGCCATCCCTACCCTCAAATCCTCCTTAGTCCGACCAGGTGCTTGGCTATCAAGGGATTTCAGTCTTTTTGGTGTGCTGCTCCCGATGTCGTTATGAGTAGTCCTCTTGGACTTCTCTTCATTTACCGTGTCAAAACAAAGTTCCTTCCCTTGAACATGCTGATGTTCCCTAACATACGTCCCTTTGGTGCGAGGCGTCCTCTAAGACTCTCTTCTTATTGATTTTGCTCGCCCGGCGTCTCGTGAAGGTCGGTGTGAGCGTTCCTTCACCTTATCATGCTGAGAGACTACTAGGACTGCTTTCTGCCCCCTTTCTAGGCATCGTTGTTGGCCATTAGAATCGGCGTGTTCTTCAATGGAAATGGTGGTTGCATGACGTTGTTCTGCATCATGAAGTTGACAACCGATTGAAGGTCTACCAACTTGGTTGCCATTCCCTTCATCTCGTCGTTCCTTTTTAAGCATCTATCTTTCTATACTTGGAGGTCGCTTTCGTTGTAATATTCGTCTCGACCTGCTTTTTTCGGTGGGTCTCCCTCTTGGCCGACGTTATTCTCCCCGGGATTCTGATCTCATGGTCCTTCATTAGGGTTTTCCTCCTCCATGTTAGGATCGCCATATTTACCACTCCCACTAGGGATGTCGTCCCCAACCTTCTCTTTCTGCCCGTCGTTGGCCATCTATTCTAACTAAATTTCCACAAATGGTGCCAAATTGTGGGTGTTGATTTCTGACCACACAACTAAACGGGGAACTCAACTGGAGAGCACCGGCAGAATAGATTAAGCGCGAACAATCTGTCACAGAAAGATAAAAATCCAACGGTGGTTCGTCCACTCAAGGGCACTTCGACGCTCAAGTTAGTAATCAAATATCTCAAAGATAGCAAATTGTGCTTAACTCACAAGAAACAATGGTATATCTCACCAAAAACACACATACCTTAGACCCACAGGGTGCCCTGTTTTTATAGTCAGTATTGACCTGATCCCTATAGAAGCCTCACTTCAGTGAACTTAGGCTCAATGCTTATCTTGGATTCTCTGCTAGATAGGGATAAGCTCCCTAAGAGCTCTATCTTTATCCAGACTGTGATCTTCCCCTGTTCTAGGATTCTTGTCCCTTATCCGCTAATCTCGGATTCCGATATCTCCGCAGATAATCTCGGCCTAACCGAGATCGCCTCGGCATTAGGATTAGGCCACGTGACACCTCGACTGACACTCCGGCATCACCTTGATCACGTGCTGTCACTCATAAAATATGTCCCCACAAAAGCCAAACCAAAGCAAAGCCTAGGCCGGTCGTGGTAAAACTGGATGAAGGGGTTGAAGTACATATTGAAGCCAAGAAACCCGAGTCAAAAGATGTATTTGATCTCTGGTGTTGTGTGAGATGCTCTTTTTGGTAATGAAGCCCTGCCCAGTTTATCATAAGTCAAGAGAAGAGGAAAGGAAAGATAAGTAGTGTTCAACCTTTGGAATCAACAGAAAGTTTGGTTATTGGGGGCAATTCTGAGGCTGCAAATCCTAGTTCAACAAGAGGCAAACATCGTTCCCATGGTAAAGAGAGAGAACACGCAAGTGTTGGTAAGAATGTCGACAAAATTGAAGAAAAAGTTCAGAAAGATAAACAGAAAACTATTCATTGTCCCCGGAAGAACAAAGCTCGACAAAGAGCAGATCAAAGTTTGAATGTGGTTGCTCAGACACCAGTAATTCCAGATCTTCTATTATAGCACCAAGATTGGAAACTTAAATCTCTCAATAGCTGGAAAATCTTGAAATGACATCGCGACACTGAGGTAAGTTTTGCTGTAAAGATACTTTTTGTTTTTTTATTTCTTTCTTTCTAACTTTTTGTGCAGGATTTGTGATTTTCTGGGAAGTTTTTATCTCGGGATTGGTTTTTGATGCTACACGATTGTGTAAATTTTGTAGTCCAAGCATAGAACCAGCTCATGGAGGCAATCCAAAGCAATGTAAAAAGTCAACAATGAAACTAAAATCCCACATTAATAAGAATGTATCTTCCTTAAGAAGGGTTCAAATGCCAGCTTCATATAATGTGGTGCTTTGGAAACTTGGGCTCCGTTTGGTAAGTCTATCAAAGTATAGTTTTACCTATTAATTTGAGTGTGAATTTATTTTGAATTTTTAAATCATAACTCTACATCTATTTCTCAAAACTCAATTCAAAACATAATCATTACTTTTCAAAACTCATAACCAAATACATAATTCAAAACTCTTTTCAAAACTCAATTCAGATCAATATTTTAAATATTTTAAAAATATTTTAATTTTGTTAAGATATTAAATATTTTAATATTTAAATATGTTACGATTTTTTTAATTTTTTTAATTTTTAATTTTTTGAATATTTTTAAATATTACGATTTTAATTTTTAAAATTTTAAAATATTTTATAAAAATAAATTCAAACTCTATTTTATAAAAATATTTTTAAATATTTTAATTTTTGTAATCTACGCTCGAGCGCCAACACCTCCGCTCGAGCGTACAGGCCAAAAATCTGGGCAACTAGTTTTGGTTTCTAAACTCAACCAACCTGTAACAAACCCGCTCAACACATCCTATAACTCAAATACAAAGTAAGAAAGGATGCAAACAAGATAATAAACAACTACCAACATCCACGGACACATGTCCGGATCACTATACAACAAGGGTAAACCCGGGATCGCTATAGATTTGACATGTGAAATAAGAAAATTTGTTTGGTTATGAGTTTTGGAAAGTGTTTTCAAAACCTAATTCAAATTGTTATAACTCATAACAAAATACATTACTTACACACTATTGACAATTCTGATTAACACTCATAACCAAACTCTTTTTAAAATTCAATTAAAAAAATTTATTATAGCTCATTGAGTGTTGATCAGAATTTTCAATAGTGTGAAAGTAGTTTTGAGGTATAACAAGTGTGTTTTGTTATGAGGTATAACAATTTGAATTAAGTTTTGAAAACTCTTTCCAAAACTCATAACCAAACAAATTTTCTTACTTCACATGTCAAATCAAACTTTAAAACTCAATTTCACACTCAATTCAAAACTCAATGCAACACTCTATTCAAAAACCATAACCAAAAAAATTTTCTACACTCAAATCATAATTCCCCTACTCACAAATTCAAAATACAACTCATACTCTCCAATCATATTTACAAAACTCTACCAAACGCAATCTTGATTTTTAGCCACTTTTCTAGGTTTGTAGCAAAAGTCAAAAGTTGACTTTTTTGTATTTTTTTCATTTGGAAAGTTGATTTTTAGTCACAAGTGAAATTATAATTTTACCCCTCATAGGTCAAAATGTATTACATGGGTGAAGTTGTAAATATTTTAAATTGAATGGGGATAGTTTGATTATTTTATTGTGATTTGACATCATAAATAAATATTAATCTAAAAGGCAAAAGTAATTTTTTACTAACTTTTCAAATCATTTGTTTAAAAACGCCAAAAATTTGGTTAAAAGTAAAAAATTCACTTTTTACCATCTTTCCAAAATAGGCCAATGTTTGAACACTAAAAAAATATAGTGAGCTTCAAAATTGCTGTTTGGAACCCATTAGAAAATCAACTTATATATCTATACTATTATATGAAGCCTCATTTTGGTGTGAACACAAAATTAAGTTGTGTAACTCATTTTTAAATTTAAAACATGTTCAGGAAAAAAAAAAAAAAAAACTACAATTTATCTACACTGCAATGTCTTGTAATCAGGAATCACCCTTTAACAACAAACTCACAAAGAAAGGCTAGATTTGAAATTTTTTTTATTTTTTATTTTTTACTTACCAATTAGTAGGAGGAGAATAAGGAATGAGGAACTACATAACACAATGATAAAACTTGAACCCAAATATCACATCCAGTAAGAGAGTGCCTCATCCATTCAGGCCAAACCTTCATCTTTGTTTATTGGTTCTTCAAATACAGGCAATTGTTGATTTTCATAGATGAGTGATTTCATTTTGGTGTCATTTTTTAAGTGCTTTTCAATAACTGGTCATACACTCAAACTGTATGATAGAATGTTTAAGTTAGTAACTTCACTATATTTGAGCTGTGTGGTCCCAGTGTTATGCTCCAATAATTTAGTCACCTAGTGGCTTATTAAAGAAGACCAGTTTTTCTTATGGTGTGTTTGGTTGAGGGATTTGAGGAGGGACTTGGAAAAGAAAATGGAAAAGGTAGGTGAAATGTGAAAAAAATATACCTACATTTCACATAATTTCACACACCTTTTCCCTTTTCCTTTCTCTTTCCAAATCTCTTCCCAAATCCTCCAACCAAACACAGTATTAAGGTACCTTCGATTTTGTCTTACATGTAATGGGCTTGATTTTGATATACAGACTTTCATTTATGCAATAATATTGATTAAACAATAATATTTTGCCTTTGAAAGCATATCATTTACTTGTTTACCCTAAAACTACCTCTGCATTTGACAGTAAATTAAACCAGATCAATATGTATGGTTGGATCGGATTCTGTGATGGAATGATTTGATTCCAGTTAGAGGTGGAGGGCACGGGATCTCTGTTGTCTGGTTCCAATAGGATCATAGATTTTTGTATGGTGTAATGATTGTGAGTGTATGGAAATAAAAAATAAAGAAATTTAGCGACACAGGATCTTTCTCCATGAGTGGAGTGGAGCTTGTAAAGCTCACATAAGTGGAGGGTTGTGGCCCATGAAATTGTGGGCCCCACACCCCTCCCTCTATTTAACAAAGTATCAAGCGCGACCATAGGAAATGCACATGAAAGCCAGACTGAGCTAGCAAAAGGAGTGACTTTGCTGAACTATTAATCAATGGAAGACCGAGTCGCATTGTGAATTTCCTTCCTTTGGTTGTAATCTTGCATATAGGAAACATGAGGAGTGGTTAAAACTAATGTATTTTAATTAGAAAATCATGGATTCAAATTGAATCATTTGACTACCCTTTTCCTTCTGGTCCACGAAAAAAAATCAAAATCAAATGCATAAACTTTACAGGATCTCCAAGGTCAAAATGGTTGGGAGCAGAACACATGCATTTTAACTTAAATTGCTTTTGAAGGTTTGCAAGCTGGCCTGTCTTCCCCCAAGCCCAACTCTCCCTCCTGTAGACAAATAGCTCTCTCTCTCTCTCTCTCTCTCTGGTTTTTTCAGCTATGGCAATGGGGGATGAACACCATCAATCTCCAGCAATTGCCAGGCTCTTCAATTCCCATTTACGATTGAGCCGCGCCTTTCATTTCCTGTTTTTCATCATTGGTTTGTCTCTCGGAGTTACAACCAGTCTATACCTCAAAAGTTTCTCATTCAATCTACAAGCCAGCCTAACATCTCCTATCTCCCTATCTCCACCACCACCACCACCATCACCACCACCACCACCACATGCGACTCTCCCCCTAACAGAGAAACGCTTTCTCATCCACAACATGGCCGACGAAGAGTTGTTCTGGCGAGCATCAATGGTTCCAAGGATTCAGGAATTCCCATACAAGCGTGTTGCCAAAGTCGCCTTCATGTTCTTGACGAAGGGGCCTCTACCACTTGGTCCCTTGTGGGAGAAGTTTTTCAAAGGGCATGAAGGACTCTACTCCATTTATGTCCACACTGATCCCTTGTACAATCAATTAGTGCCTGAAAATTCTGTTTTTCATAGAAGAAGAATTCCTAGCAAGGTGAGTTTTTTTTTATTTTTTCCCCTTTGGTGATAATTAATACTGGTTATCTCTTAATGTCCTCTTATACAAAAGTCTCAAACACATCTGGATTCATGCATTTTCCAATTGCATCTGTTTACCGGTTTGTATCTATACTCTTCATGGGGTTTTAATACAAAAAGTCTACCTGCACAGAAGAATTTCACATAAAGAATCATAGAAGAAAGACAAAATGAGATTCTCGTGTTTGTCTCTCTTTTGTGATTGGAAATTACAGTAGAAAAAAAAAGAGAAGATTTTGTAGTTTTTAAGGATAGTCAAAAATGCATTCTGGTAGTTCTCCATCCATATAATATATATTATCTAGGCCTACCAACCCTGTCCATTGTTTTGTATAGGACAAAAGTAGTAGTGAACCTATACCAAATCACAAAAAATTCAGTATACTACCAAGAAACATTCAAGAAAATCAACTTAGCAGGTCAATTAAAGTTATGAAATGGAGTAGCGATTGTTGAAAAACTGGTTTTCAAATCTGATGTTGTCAAAAGTTGAAAACACTTAAAAAGACAGACTTGAACATTGGAAGTTACTGATTATGACATGTTTGGCTTATTGCAGCCAGTGCAATGGGGGAAACCAACGATGATCGATGCTGAAAGACGCCTTCTAGCGAATGCCCTGCTAGATTTCTCCAACGAGAGATTCATTTTACTATCGGATACTTGCATTCCTCTGTTCAACTTCACCACAACATACAATTACCTCGTCAACTCAAACCAAACCTTTGTTGCCTCCTACGATGATCCAAGGAAGATAGGCCGTGGCAGATATAACCACCAAATGTGGCCTACAATTTCCATCTCCCAATGGCGTAAAGGGTCCCAATGGTTTGAAGTCGATCGCAGGCTTGCCATTGAGATAGTATCTGATCGAAAGTACTACCCGTTGTTTCAAGAGCATTGCCATCCTCCTTGCTACACAGACGAGCACTATATCCCGACTTTAGCGAACATTCTCTCTCCGGAGCTGAACTCAAACCGGACCGTTACGTGGGTTGATTGGTCAAGGATGGGTCCACACCCTGGGAGATTTTTCAGGGAGGCTATTTCGGTTGAGTTTTTGGATCAAATAAGGTTTGGTACTAACTGTACTTACAATGGCGACTCCACTCCAATGTGTTTTCTGTTTGCTAGGAAATTTTTTCCCAACACTGTACACCCTTTGCTGCAGCTCTCTTCAATGTAACTGTCTGCTTGTGTTCATCCATAGCATTCATGTACCCGCCCTTATTTTCTTTCAGTTGTGTTTGAATCATAAATTTGAAGAGTTGTGTTTGGATCATAGGAGTTAATCACAGAAGGATAAGAAAAGAGAGGGAAAGGTCAAAAATAGCAAAAATTAACTTATATTTCATTTAGTTTCTCTTCACTTTTTTCTCTCTTTTTGCCAAATTCTTTTCCGAATCCATGATCCACTCACACAACTTTCGTGAAACAAAATATGTATGGAATTTCATATTATCAATGTGGGTGTTTGAGAAGTAAATTTTTTTGTAGGTTTTTTTAGTTGTACGATATTATTGGAGAATTTTTTTTTGTATTTGGGAAGATAGTTGGATTTTTTTGTGGTTGGATGTAATGTTTGTGAGAGAAAAAGTGAAATGATTATGGGGTTTGATGTGATATTTTATTTAGATTTTTTTTTTTTTTTAATTTTGTAAAACATTTGTCTTGTAGTGAAAAAAAACAAAAAAAAAATCTAAAAATTAAGTTCCCAAACACCCCTAATGTATAAGTTAAATACTATTGAAGAAATGGCTAAAGTAAAATGTTATTGGATTTTTGGATAATACTGACTTTTCCAATGAGGTGGTCCCATCTCCAACACCAAAACCAACTTTTACAGTGTGTGAACGAATTTGCATTCTACGAGGGGAATTTGTGCCGAACCAATGGACCGAGCTAAACCTAGCGCGGACCTTTATTTTGGACCGCACAACCCTATTTGCTCGTCTTGGATGTTGGATCATGTTGGGTGGTGAATGTGGATTGTAGGCCAAACCAATCATGCTCCTTGGTGATGGGTTAGGCTAGATTGGAATTAGGCCATCAACACAGACGATGTTGAACAAGGAATAAGCCACAAGTATGGACGGGGCTAGGCCAAGATGAGATCGCTGCCTGAGACCGAGCTAAAGCAATCAGCCGAGCTAAAGCAAGAGCTACGCGGTCGGCGAACAGTAAGGATCTTAGCCGGGCTTGGCCGAACTGTTGGACCGGTAGGAGAGGCCACCCTGCGCTAGCTCGACATTAGTCCGATTGAATGTAGCTGAGGTGCAGTTGAACTGCAAGTGATGGCTTGGTCAAGGCATTCCACATGGTCCAATGGAGTGAGGAGAGGAATCCACTCAAGATACGCGTCAATATTGTTTGGCAGTTTAGCCAAAGTTGTTTGGCAATATTGACGCGCACATGTGTAATGAAAAGAAAGGGCAGTACCACCACTCGTCCAGCAGAGTATAAAAGAAGTAGTGTGCGTACAACCTTCAAAAGCAAGGTAGCAACCTAGATAAAGCGCATGACTTCACTCTGAGAAGGGTAAGCGAATTCTAACGACTCTCTCTCTCTACATTCCTCATTTTTCTAAAGGATGTTAACTTGACCGTCGAAAGAGTTTTCTGACAACACACCCGCCGAGTAATTCACCATCGTTGTGCTTTTAGGAAGCAAGACCCCGTTGGAAGCAAGTCGAGTTCTATTGTAAGGAATACGAAAGTAAAGAATATTTACTTCCCGTACACACTCTATATTGTAGGGATTGGCTACCACTTTTTGAGCTGTCATTAACGTATTCCTCTAATGATTGGAGTGTTCTTAAATCCAAGTCGGGTCAAATTGAAACGGAGGGTTTAATTTGGAGAGGATCAACAAAATCCAGCACAAGAAGTCCAACGCAGACTTTGTCAAACCAGTACAACAGTCATAATCATATTGTTAAAGTCATGCTTTTTGATCAGGTAATAATAATGAGCTTTCAATTTCAATACTATTAAACTTAATTTTCTTAATTGGTGACAAGAAATTTTAGGCCATGGTTTAGCTTGCTTCTACACGCAGGAGGCTTACATTGACCCCTGATGTACCTATGCAACGTGACATTATGAATATTATTCAATATTTGACTTTTTTTTCTTTTTTTTTTTGGTACAGATTGTGCTACATAGCTTGAAAAGAGCTGCTCCCGAATCCTCCAAACCCAAAAACGACATCGTTTCGTTGTTTGAAATTTATTTTATTTTATTTTTTTTCAATCAGAAAAGAAGAAGAAGAAGGAAGAAAGAAGGAGGAAGAAGAAGACAGCAGCAGCGGGCAGAGGCAGAGGCGACAGGCGGGGGCGGGGGCCGGAGGCAGATGGAGGGGGCAAATGCAGGGGTGGAGGCGGAGGCAGAGGCGGGGGCTGCGAGACAGAGGTGGAGGCGACGGCGGAGGCGGGGCTGCGACGATCAGACAGAGGCGAGACTGCAACGATCGGGCAAAGGGCTGCGATAGCTACGACGACCTGCCTCCTCTTTCCGTCTCTTCTCTTTCTCTCTCTCTTTCTCTCTTCTCTTCTTTTTCAGGCTGTTCGGGGGCACGAAATTGCAGGAAAAAATCATTTTTCATATATAAATTGACTATTCAAATGGTTATGCGGTCTACAATTTTAGACTTATATATATATGGGAAATGATTTGTAGCCCTAAAATCCTCACCCCTAATCCCCCTAATTTCCATTTCTGGCAACTGTTTCCTTTTTTTTTCGGGGGCACGAAATTGCAGGAAAAAATCATTTTTCATATATAAATTGACTATTCAAATGGTTATGTGGTCTACAATTTTAGACTTATATATATATATATACTATATATTATGGGTTTACTTATGTATTGTTAAGCTTTGCAATTTGTAGGTGTCATGTCACCACTGTTCACAATCATACAAAAATATAAGTTGCGTGAGCAAACAACCAATGACAAATATCGCACAGAAATTGTAAAGTACGGAAATACCCTTTTTGCAATACAAACATAAAAGTTAAAAAAAAATCTATTACAGGATGATATAATAAGTTTTAATTTTATTATTTTAAAAGAGAAATGTTAGGAATCATGAAATTTTTTTCCTGCAAATGACCATGAAAAATTTGTGACCCTTAGATTATCTTGATTAATGTGTGGTGCTTTATTATAAGTGTAATCCAAAGGTCACAAATCTTTCATGATTATTTTCATGAAAGACTTTTCATGATACCTACCATTGCTGATTTTAAAACAAAGTTTTTATCGAGTTGGATTATATTTTTTAGAACCGCCAGTCACATATTTAGTTAAGAATTTTGTACATAAATATGTAAGAAAATATTATTTTTGTGACATATCTCTGTCGTTATGTTCTTGTCACCTTTCCAAATTTTCGGATCCCATATCCAACCCAAACCACAAACCTGCCCAGTCCACCTTTTCCTGATTCCATTCTACTTAAAAGAATCTGTGAGTTGTTTCCAATTTGAGTTTCTCTCTCTAGACAATCAATATCCTTCATCTCTCTCCCTCAAGCCCCACCATCACTTTGTTAATTCAAAAATAAAACAGGACAACAATCACTTTCTTCCAAGCCAACCTCTCTCTCTCTCTCTCAACAATGAAGAATGATCAGAAACAAAACCAAACAACTAATCTCTTCAGTTCCCCAATGCATTTTTACACCCTCTTCACATATTTCCTTCTCTTCAGCTCTGGTTTAGTAATTGGAATCGCATTTAGTCCCTACCTCAAACCTCTCCCCTTCATTTCTAACCTCAATCAACTCTCAAATATCCCACCACCACCACCACCAAACACCACACCAACAATCTCAAACCAAACAAAAAGTTTCGAAAGAAACTTTTCGTTTGGCTCGAAAGAAAATTTGAAGCCACCTCCTAATGCTATGCACGACATGGAAGACAAAGAGTTGATGTGGAGAGCTTCAATGGTTCCTCAAATTCATCAATTTCCACTCAAGCGTGTCCCAAAGATTGCTTTCTTGTTTTTGGCAAGAGGAGATTTACCATTGGCCCCTCTTTGGGAGAAATTTTTTGAAGGGCATAAAGGGCTTTACTCAATTTATGTTCATTCCAATCCATCTTTCAATGGAACAGTGGCTAGAGATTCAGTGTTTTATGGGACAAGAGTTTTGAGCAAGGTGAGTTTGATTCATGTTTGTTTGTTGTTTGCTTTTGTTAACTTTGTGTGCACTTTGTTTAAAACAAATTTTCCTTCTAATCATTCAATTTCTATATCAAATCAAACTAAATCAATGTAAGTTTTGTCTTCAATCGAGTAGAATCGGCTGCATCAATTCTTTCATTATTCCTATATCCCATATCAGTTTATTAGGTTTTTTTTCTCCTCGTAATTATGCATAATGCTTAGGGTTTAATTTCTTTACACAACCAGTCCCAAAAAAAAAAAAAAAAAAATCCATGATATTCAAGATGGATACATTTGGTCATCAGCTAATACCAACCAACTCAAAAAATAAAAATAAAAATAAAAAAACAGGTGGATACTATATAGTTGTGGCGGAGACACATTAGATGGAACCTCCCTTAGCAGTCCATAGTTGACCACATATTCTACAACTGAAATGTTATGTAAAAAAATAAATAAATAAATCAAACAAAGAGTATTTGGACTTGACAGTGCAAATTTACATTTTAATATAGTTTGGATTACATCTAGAATAAATTAGAACTATACATTTTAAATTTTAAACATATTTTTCATAGTATATAATATTGAGATACTACTATATGACATGACAATATCATGTTTCGTTGAGTATCAACATAAGATCCTTCCATTGGTGCAAAAAAAAAAAAAAAAAAAAAAAGAAGAAAAGAAGAAGAAGATCCTTCTAGAGTACATACGTATATATGTACTCTCTTTGCACAATTTTAATTTATGACTAAAATGATTTTGGACATGACTAAATATCACTTTAAGACATAATTAATACCATTTAAAGAATAACCAAACTTCACTTTGGATCTTAACAGAGGTTAATTCCATTTTAATTTGACCATGCATATATTAACCCAAATACTTCACGACATAACCAATATCATTTTGTAGCATATATAACCAACATTAAATTAGTGTATGACTTTAATATGGACACATTTAATTTAATTTAATTTTTAATTGTTGTACAGAATTGGTGTCCTGCATATTTTATATTTATATATATATATATATAATTAAACTTTGAATTCAAAAGATGAGAAGCAAAAGAAGAAAAGAAGAAGAAGATCCTTCTAGAGTACATACGTATATATGTACTCTCTTTGCACAATTTTAATTTATGACTAAAATGATTTTGGACATGACTAAATATCACTTTAAGACATAATTAATACCATTTAAAGAATAACCAAACTTCACTTTCGATCTTAACAGAGGTTACTTCCATTTTAATTTGACCATGCATATATTAACCCAAATACTTCACGACAACCAATATCATTTTGTTGCATAACCAACATTAAATTAGTGTTTATATATAAAATTAAACTTTGAATTCAAAAGATGAGAAGCTGCAATATGCAGATGTTATATGGTTTCATATTGTCACAATATAAAGCAATTTGTCCAATTTTGATACTCAGACCATGTTTTAACACTCGTCCCTTGAAAGTCTACACACTCAAATATTTATTTAAAAAAAATTTAATTGTTAATTTTTATTGTAATCTAAAAAAAAAAAAAAATAGTTTTTTCAAGAGATCCACGCGTTTAATTTGTAACATATTATTTGAGCTAAGTTGATATACGTTCCCAAGTATTTTATTCATTTGTTTAATTACTAAAATAAATAAATAATTTATTTATTGAAACAAAAATTATAAACCTTAAAAAAGTAATAAAAAAAAAAAAAAAAAACCCAAAAAAAAAAAACCCAATTGGTGTTTAGAAATCTCATCAGTTGATTGGTGCAAGTTTGTGAAGGTCAAGCGCTTTTTCAAGTTCAAAAATCTTGAAAGAAATATTTCTCGTTAGCTTCTTCTTTTTATTTATTTATTATTATTTTGGGTGGGTGAAAATTGTTCTTCTATTTAGTTTGTTTAGAATGAAATAGGTAGAAAGTTAAAGAAAGAAGGAAAAAAAAAAATTATGAGTTTGTTTAGTTTAAGAAAACTAATTTTCTTGTACAACTCATATTAGCATTGTAATTAATTTTTTTATTTCTTACAAAAAATACAAGAAAATATAAGAAAAATTGAATGTATGAGTTATCCATAACTAAAATTTTAAATTTTTCTATATTTTCTTACAAAATTTTCATCTTAATCAAATGGTTGAAAGAAAATATAATTTTTTTTGTATTCCTTTTTTCTCATTTCATTTTCTTTTACTTTCACTTTTACTAAATTTTCTTTCCAATCAAACGGACCGTTAATAAACCTCTATATATATTTATCCTAGAAATAATCATAGATATATCTTTTTTGTCTTTTTTGCTGTCCACCTTTCATGGGTCAAGAAGTCACGAAGGTTGTTTAATTATTTGGGTCTTGTTATGGATTTAATCTTGTCAGTGTTCTAAAAAATCGAATTAATTAGGGTTGAATAGATAGATGTTAAATCAATTGAAATTTCATCATGTGAAGGAGAGTATCATAATACCATATGTATCATATCATAAAATACGTAAATTTATCACAAAATTTCATAACATATGAGTCAAATGAAGGCAACAACACATATTTAAATAAAAATTTTACAAAAATAAAAGAAAATGCTAATGATCCGAAGGATGTCATTAGTCTCGATGAGTATATACAATGTGTATTGAAATTTGTAAAAATATATGAAAGTGTTTTAGAATATATAAAAGATATCTTCAGTTTCGAATTTATTATTATTTTTCATTTTCTCTTATTACTAATAATAATAGCTTACTGGACTGTTAGCGTAATCCAACCAGCAAAGACTCTATGGTGATGCACCTAATTATGGGTTTAAGCCCAAACCCAGCCACACATAAGTCTAGCTGCCCTATGGGCCTTGTGCCCAATGGGCCGTGGCAGGCCCAACTTTACTCAATTCCCTTAATTGTTCATCTTTCGTTGGGCCTCAAGGACTTTCTTTTTCTTGGTTGTCGACTGGCCTCTTTTTTCTTTTTTTTTTGAAACTATTTCTTTTTCAATTTGTAGGTTGGAATGAGACCTGGTTAGAATGATTTATGTTCAAATTCATAGTATGCGCACCTTTCTAGTAAAAAGAAAATCGATTTATTTTATTTTATTTTTGGATAATGCAGAAGGTAGAATGGGGAAAATTCAACATGGTTGAAGCAGAGCATCGCCTTTTGGCCAATGCATTACTTGACTTCTCAAACCAACGCTTTGTTCTCCTCTCTGAGTCTTGCATTCCCCTTTTCAATTTCTCTACCATCTACTCTTATCTCGTGGGCTCAATAAAAACCTTTGTGGAGGCCTATGACTTACCAGGCCCCACCGGTCGCGGTCGATATAAACATCGACTAAAGCCGCTAATCACGCGTGAGCAATGGCTTAAGGGATCCCAATGGTTTGAAATGGATCGTGATCTCGCCCTTGAGGTAATCTCCGACCAAAAATATTTTCCGGCATTTAAAAGAATGTGTAAATCCTACTCATGCTATGCGGACGAGCATTACTTGCCTACATTTGTGAGTATGAGGCTTGGGTGGAGGAATTCGAACAAAAGTTTGACTTGGGTTGATTGGTCAAGGGGTGGACACCATCCATTTCGGTTTAATAGACAACATGTGACCATTGAGTTGTTGAATAAGATGAGAAGTGGAAGTCATTGCGTGTACAATGGAGAGAGAAGCAATATATGTTTCTTGTTTGCAAGGAAGTTCTTGCCTTGCACTTTGGCTAGGTTATTACTATTTGCTCCAAAGGTCATGAAATTCAATTAATATATCACCCTTGAGATTATTGAAGGCACAGCAAAAAGCACACTGGATTAAAAATGAAAAAATCAAAATTTATTGAAATCAAAACCCCATTACAAGTTTATGTATGGACAACAAATTTAGGTTTCCTAATTGCCAGCAACTCTGCACAATGTTATTATCATACTCATCATAAAGACTTTTCTTGAACAATTTAATAAACAAATAGAAGAACAATCATTGAAATATGAGGCCAAACAACAAAAATTTGTAGATTAAGACAAAATCGCAACATATCAAAATATGTGAATGTGCCAATAATATATATGTATATATATTAAAGAGGGTCAAACTAACTTGAGCAAGGCCTGGGTTGGGCCAAGCTATTATATTGGGCCTAATCCTATGAACCACTCCGAAGTGGGTCGAACCAAGAATTAGACCAAATTCAACTGGCCACCCGAGTATACAGTTGGGCTAGATCCAATTGGCCACTCAAGGTAGGTCGAGCGTAATGAGTTGAGCCAAACAGGGTTGGTCACCTTGAGGTGGGCCGAGCAAGATCGACACACTACAAGTCCAAGGGATTGAATGACAAGCTTCCCTTTTAAGCCGAACAAAAGTCTTTTCTCTAGTTTCCTAACTTTAGTATCAGAGGGATTTTCCGACCAAACTCTAGTTAGGCAACCCTTACCATTTATTATCTGTGCATCCTTCTATTCCCGGATTAACCAGATCCGCCATAGAGCTGAATCTATTTTTATTATCGTTAGGGAAAGTCTGGGGACCCAGAATTACCCACCCAGATTTTTTTGGATGGGTGATTGTGTAGTGAAAATTAATTAATTTATTTAGTGTGGGGTCTATGTAAGGTGTGGTGGAAATTAATTTTTGAATAATTTTTGAATTGATAAAGGTGAGTTTATAGTGTTGGTATTTTTTCAAAATAATACTAGAAAAATATATAAAATAAAATTAAATAGAAATGACAAAGAAAAATGCTTGAGACCCCTATTTTTTAGAGACCCCCACAACCCCCTTTGGATCTCCACCATTGATGTATGTATGGGGTCTACACCATCAATAGTATAGATCTAAAGGGCGTTGTGGGGGTTTCCAAAAAAAGGGGTCTTAATCATTGTTAAATGACAAAACAATTATTTTCTTTTATTAAAGAATAAAATATAGTATTGGGCCTAGCAAGATCGACACACTACAAGTCCAAGGGACTGAATGACAAGCTTCCCTTTTAAGCTGAACAAAGGTCTTTTCTCTAGTTTCCTAACTTTAGTATCAGAGGGATTTTTCGACTAAATTCTGGTTAGGTAGCCCTTACTGTTTATTATCTTTGCATCCTTCTATTCCCGAATTAACCAGATCTGCCACAGAGCCGAATCTATTTCTATTATCATTAGGGAAAGTCTAGGGACCCAGAATTATCCACCCAGAATTTTTTGGATAGGTGATTTTGTGCAGTGAAAATTAATTAATTTATGCAGTGTGCGGTCTATGTTAGGTGTGGTAAAAGTTAATTTTTGAATAATTTTTGAATTAATAAAGGTGAGTTTATAGTGTTGGTATTTTTCCATAATAATACTAGAAAAATATATAAAAGAAAATTAAATAGAAGTGACAAAACAATTATTTTCTTTTATTAAAGAATAAAATATAGAATAAACTACTGAACTAAAAAAAAAATATAGGAATGAACTAGATTACGTCATGGAACATATTACAAGATGGATTCAAATAGACATATAAATTAATATATGAGAAATTATTTAAATTTAAAACTTTGAAGAACAAAAGATAAATGATGCAAACCGAAATCTATGTAATACCACAATTTCTTTAAAACCGATTCATTGCCTCTCGATGGGTGCTGAAGGTACATCGGCGTTTGTCTCCCAAAATACGACGATCGAAACCAACTCATGCAGAAGTACATTTTGAATAGTTTCGGCGAACTTGACAATGACAACACTCTCTTTGTAATAAGAACCAAAGAAGGGATTAACAAAAAGAAGATAGAAAAATTTTCTTTAGTATAAAAGCATCTCTAACTTTATCTAAAGAAAAACATAAATTTTCCATCTCAAAATATTTCTAGATCATACATCTAAGTTGGAAGGGAAAGACCTTTTTTATACTTGTAGGGAGGGGGTCTTAGCCATGAAGCCTATTATAAAACTTAGCACAAATGGTCATTGTAACACCTTCAAAATAAACCCATAAACCACCCAACAATAGCATGTTTAAACATAGGAAAATAAATCATAAATATATTCCATCAGAGTAATCATTACAAAATATATTACATGTTGACAACAAAAGTAAATACCCTATGGACTTACAACTTTCCAATTCAACACTTGGTTACAAAAAGAGAGTACTAACTCTATACAAAGAAAGCCCTTGGCTTGATATACATGTAATACATCAAAAGAAAACAAAACAACAGAAACATTCTGCCTGCCTCTAGCCTCCCAAGCTATGTCTTTGGAGGTGGCATGTTACCTGTACCTGAAAATGATGTCCTATAAAGGGTGAGCCACAGCCCAGTAGAAATATACTAAACCAACTATAAACAATGACTAAAATAATAGCATTTAATAGATGGTCCATACTTGTATTCCAACGAATGTCGTATTACAGTTTTACGACAATCATGCCCATGGCACACTTCAGTTTCCATTTCTTATTCGACTTTGAGTTTGAAAACAAGGCTTAGAACCTAGCCAAATAACTTAATGAGGCTAAGACTCATCTTTAAAACACTTTCGAAATTCATGATGGATACACATTTTGGTGCTGTATCAATAACACATAGAAACACTTCTATACTTCACAATTGATAACGATATACATTTTAGTACTATATCAAATCAATTCAAACACTTCCATTTGTAGTGCTGTATCAATGTCACACAAAATCCGGTTTAGAGGTCCATCCCATATCTTCCCCTAAACCGTGTAGTACATCCCCTATCTCCTTCCACACACAATGTATATAAACATAGATCATATACATAATCAATCACTACATAAAGTTAATGTATTATTCCAACCGCTACATTCGATAGCATACTCAATCGATTAGTTTTAGTTTGCGTAATCATCATGCATTGTCTACAACAATCAAGACTATCCTCCACCGATAGCCCAAAATAGTTATTTCTAAACAGAAAATAAAATGCACCAAATGAATAAAATATCAACATTTCAACTAGGTGAGTGATAAATGATCCAACTACACCCTTTAATCCCATACGTTCCCAATTTCAACATTCTCAATTCAACTTCTCATTTCTCAAAATTAATTTCACAAATTAATTCATCAATGTAATTAGGGTATTTCCCATAATTAACAAAACAACCCTAAGGTTTCATTTCTATCAATAACCCAACATTTATCTCATTTCTCCATGCTAAAAATGCATATAGGCTTATATGAATAAAACCCCATCTTTTGTAAAATTACACAAAGACCCAAACTTTCTTAAAATTACCCAACAATCCCCAATATATCAAAATGTTAAAATTTAAAGACAAAGCTCATAAGGAGGAGTAGGATATCCCTACCTCGAAGTTAGAGCTCAAATGGAGAAGAAGACCAAAACCAAAGTGTTCCAAACTCCAAACTTTTCGGATCAAAACGAAGCCCTCGACGATCAACACGCTTTTTACAAAGGCCGAAGGATAGGAGAGCACTCTAACTAGATCAAACCCTAGAGAGAAGGGAAATCCTAGAGAGGGAGGCTCTGAAAAGTGTTTTTAGAAGTAAGAGAGAGAGAGAGTGAATGTAAAAAGTGATTCAAAAATGCCCAGCTGCCCACTGATATACGACACTTCCGCTCGAGCGGAGAATAGAACACTTGAGCGTCAAGAACAAAAATCCGGACACGCTCGAGCGCAATAAGGCCCACTTGAGCTCCAAGACACAAAAATAAAATACATCCGCTCGAGCGCGAAAACCAGTCCGCTCGAACGTAGATTTCCCCATCCCAGAACTTTCACAGACAAAGCATTACCCGTTCGAGTGCCAACATACTCGCTCGAGCGCGACCCACTCGAGCGTAGGAAACCCACTTGAGCGTGAAAAACACACCTGCAGAAGTTTTGCAGGGACACGAGATACTGGGAGTGTGTAAATCCCGCTCGAGCGGACAACCAAAAACCAAACTCCGCTCGAGCGCAAAATGATCCGCTCGAGCGTAACACCAAAAACCTGGGCAACTACACTTGAGACCAAAACTCAACCTACCTGTTCAGAACACGCCCAACACATCCTATAACTCAAATACAAAGTACGAAAGGATGTAAACAAGATATAAACAACTGCTAACATCCACGGAACCAAGTCCGGATCACTGTACAACAAAGGGTAAAACCCGGAATCGCTATAACCTTCCCCCCCTTAAAGAATTTCGTCCCCGAAATTAAATGCAAGTTTTCAAAAGAACAAGTTTTTCTCCATTTTAAACAATGTTACATTCAACATTAAATAACTCGACCATTCCCGGATATTCCATCTCTTGTCAAGAGGCATTTCACAACATATACATTTCAACATGCATTTCCTTGCCATTTCAACAATTTAAAATGTACATGATTCCCATTTCCATATCATATTCAATATTCATGATATAATTTCCATTTCTATAACACATTCAACATATGCAATGTTATATCAAACTTCCATTTCAAGGCAAGTTCCAAAATACTTCCATTAAACCAAAACATACATAATGTTTTACAACCTAAGATATTTTCAACACTCTTAAGGTTCAACAATACAACAAAATATACAACATATACTCAAACATCCACAAATAGATCCAGATATTTCTCTCGGACCTCCAACTCACGTTCCCAAGTGGCTTCCTCCACCCCGTGATGTTTCCACAAAACTTTTACCAAGGGAATGCTCTTGCCTCGCAAGACTTGATCCTGTCTATCCAAGACTCGAACCGGTCTCTCCTCATACGAGGCATCCTCATCTACCTCTAAGTCGGTCCAATCCAATACATGCGATGGATCCGGCTCATACTTCCGAAGCATACTCACATGAAACACGTCATGCACTTCGGACAACTGCGACGGCAAAGCCAAACAATAAGCAACC